CCACTACATAATCCTACCGGTCGTTTTGACGGTAATATAGTAAAAAAAAAAACACTACATTAAGATTAAAAAAACTATTAAAAAAAAGATTAATATATCAACTGCGGTCAACGATCAGTGAACGATCAAAAGATGAGATAGTGTGTTGAAAAGGTTAAGAAATAATTTGTTATAAAATAATTATTCACAAAGATTTCATCAACTAATAACTTTTGTAGGAAAATATTTTTTTTGTCACCCTTGTTTTATAGGTACTTGTATCTCTTTAGGTTATGAAGTTGTTTTGAATTTATTTTGTGAGGATGTGCTTCAAAACCATGAATAACAAATGAAAATAGAAATTGTCTCTATCTTTAAAAGAATAATTCATTTTGTCTTAGTCAAGTTATGTACGATTGTGAAGCATAGTTTTGTAACATCGACTTCTTTTAACATTATATGTCATGTTTTTTTTAATGTACAAGCATAAATATTAAATATTTGTGTTAATATATAATTAAGATGGTGTTTGGCTAAACTTATTTTAAACAACTGATAAGCTCTTACATCTGATAAGATGTTTTTAGAGCTGATAAGCTGTTACAACTTATTTTTATGATTAATTTTTAGAGTGTTTGGATAATGAGCTTATTTCCTATTTTTACTCATTATAAGATCTTAAATAAAAAGGTGGGGTAAAGGTACTTATTTAAAAATATCTTATTTGGTCTCCAACAGCTTATTTTAAAAAAAATTAAGATCTTTTTTTAAAAATTACAAACACTTTGGAAGAGCTTATAAGCTCTAAAACATCTTATAAGCTCCTTTTAACATCTTATAAGCTTAGCCAAACACCCTCTAAATGTGAATTAAGATATAGTTCCTTGTAACAAAAATCCCTAGAGCTAAATGACAAGCGCTCAATTAAACATTTGCTCACACACAAAAAATAAAAAAAAATAAAAAAATCACCAAAGTAATATTCAAACATTTTTATTATATTTAACATTTAATATTTTCAAATTTACGTCTATCATTTTCGTTAAACTTTTTTTTTTACGTAAAACATGTTTCTCTCTCTCTATTATAATTTTTTTTTTCAACTGTAATCATATGTAGACACTCGTAGGAACTCATAGTAATTCGTAGTCATTTATATTCATGCGTAGTCACACAATTTGAAAATCATAACGCCCATTTGAACCCTAGCCGTCACCCATTCTCAGACACTCACAGTAATCCATAGTCATTTATAGTCATTCACACTATTCTAATATAAAAACATAGATCCGCCACAACTGCCGCCAACGCCATAGTCACCGTCTCCTCTATTGCCACGGCCCCACCATAACCACCACTGCTAAAGCAGCCGCCATAAACCGCCCCACCATACCCACCACCGCCATAACTATCCCACAATACCCACCACTATCATGCCGCTATAACTATGCCTCTACGTACGACCGTGACCGTGACCACCACCGCCTCCCTCGACCATGGAGTGGATGGCGGGGGGAGAGAGAGAGGGGGGGGGGGGGAAAAAAAGAGAGAGAGAGATTTCAAAAAAAACGGCAATTTAAATTTTTAATTTTAGGGATAAAGGGAAGGTATGGGGAATTTAATTTTTTTTTAAATATGAAATTTTTTAAAAAAAAATTTGTTTTAAATTTTTCTTTTCTAAATAAAATTAAAAAAAAATTGAAAATACCCCCCCCCATAAAACCCCCAAATTTAATCTTATATATAAAAGAAAGAAACGCTAGGGCAACCCTAAGAAACCCTAATGTCATATTTGTAATTTTTTTTCAATTTTTATCAAATTTTTATCCCCTTAATATTAATTTAAATATTATTTTCGAATTTTATCATATTTGTATCCCCTAAATATTATTTTAAATATTATTTTTTATTTTTTATCAGATTTTTGTCTACTAAATATTATTTTTTATTTTTATCAAATTTTTATCTCCTAAATATTATTATAAATAATATTTTTTGATTTTATCAAATTTATATCTCCTAACTATAATTTTAAATATAATTTTCAACTTTTAGCAGATTTTTATCTCCTAAATATTATTTTCGAATTTTATCATATTTATATCTCCTAAATAATATTTTAAATATTTTATTCGAGTTTTATCATGTTTTTATTAGTTTTTTATCTCCTAAATATTATTTTCGTTTTTTATCAGATTATTGTGTCCTAAACATTACTTTCGATTTTTATCAAATTTTTATCTCCTAAATATTATTCTAATTATTATTTTCATATTTTATCAACTTTTATCTCACTAACATTATTTGAAATATTATTTTCGATTTTTTATCAAATTTTTATCTCCTTACTATTATTTTAAATTTTATTTTCGATTTTTATCAGATTTTTATCTCCTAAATATTAGTTTTTGATTTTTTTTATCAAATTTTTATCTCCTAAATATTATTTTAAATATTATTATCGATTTTCATCAAATTCTCCTAGATATTATTTATAATAATCTGATTTTCAATTTTTACAGAAAAGGGTAAATAAATCTGATTTTCATCCCTAGCGGATTTTGTAACATCGTTTTACAGAATGTCCGCAACATTTGAATTTTATGTCTTCCCTACCTAAGGCTTCTTCTTTTGGTAAGCCGACTTTAGATTTTGTTTCTTATATTCTTCTTCATCCTATTGACTGTGTGGCAATTAGTTTACATTTTTTTCCATCATGGCTTATAGGTAATTTCATTTTGTTAAATTATGTGTTTCATTAATTTATACCAAAGTTTTCAAATTTTATGTATAACAATTATTTCATTTTATATGTTATTGGACATGTTATTGAAATGGATGACTTGAGAAAATTAACCAAAAATGGGCGGAGCCACAAGCTATTGGAAGTCGACCTTCAAGATTTATTGTTTGTATGCGATATTTAATTTATTGTTTCTTAATTTTCCAATTGTTAATTCCAGTGGCAAAACAGCCTTAAAATGAGGCAGTGGAGAAGGGCTTAGTTCTGATGCAAGATGTATAGATGGCTTTTTACGATGGTATGTTGTCGATAGTTTAGTTTTGATTATGTTAACTTAGTTATTAAATCTAATTACTTTTAAGCTCAACATGAAAGACATAATTGATGATTTTTTTCCTGTTTCAAATTTTCAATCTACTGGTATTAGCTGATTCAATTCATACGATACTTATTCAACAGTAAAGTTATGTCCTTTTTTGTGTGTAGTATACTTAATAATGTTCCAGTATAATAGCATTTTGATCATACGATACATCAAACGTTTGTTTATATTCTCACAACATCAAAACAATGTAATTTGTTGTCCCGTGCATCGCACGGGTACAATTACTAGTTATGTATTATAGTGCATAACCTTTTCTTCTAGAGAGCATCAAATTTACTTTGACAAAACTCCACATAAAATACACAGCCCAATTAAAATGAAATGAATGTTTACTACAAATAGCCGAAACCAATCAAATCACGTGGCCAATTAGTCACATGACATCATATAAAGACAAAACAAATTTAAAGTACATCAATCATATCATATCTTTAAAAAATTCCCAAATTTAAAACAAAAATAATATTAATGAGACAAACAAATATTTTAAATAACTGAATTTTCGTCATCAAATTCTAAGCTCCGATTTGTCGAGATTGCTTAGCAGAAATTATGGTGAGAATGAAATAGACAATAAATCCCAAATACGACATCGTTGCAGCAGTTGTGACTCTGTTGCAGAATTTCGGAAAATGGTCGCAAATCGCTATCCATCCCGTGTGGCTGTTGCCGTATTTTCCGATGTAGCCTACGGCAGTCGTCGCCGCACACGCCGCCATCAACAAGACGTTCATTATCTGTCACAAATTTTTTTTTGCATACAGTAGAACCTCAATAAATTAATACTCAGATAACTTGATAATTTTGCTTGAATAATAATTTATTCGAGTCCCAACACTGCAAACACGTACTCTCTCCGTTCCTAAATAAAAGTCGTTTTCTCACTTTGCGTTTGCTACAAGTTTTAAGAACCTCAATAAGTACGTCTTCATTATAGTAAAATATATGTTGATATACCAAAATACCTTATTTACTTATTAATGCAAAACTAGTGTTAGACGAGTTAATAAGGATATTTACTCAAAAAAAAAAAAAAGTTAATGAGGGTATAATTGAAAAATATGTAATATGAAGCATTGAAAGTGTAAAGTGACAGATAATATGACATAAACAAAAATCTCAAAAGAGACAGATATTGTGAAACAGATGGAGTAGTAAACTATTAATTTGATAAATTACTATTTCACTAAATTAATAGAATTTTTTGATAGTTCTTTCTATATTAATTTATAGATGTTTAACTATAGTTGTGATCAAAATTTCACCCGAATCGTCATTTTACCTAAAAATTCGAAGAAACTTTTTTCTTTTTTGGTTTTATTATTATAAATATTTTTTATAGAATAAAATTAGAAGAATGTTGGTCCGTGTAGAATTGCACCACGTTTATTTTACAATTTTATTCGTAGTGAAGTTTAATTTTTTTTTTATAAAATCTTGAAATTGAGAGAAATTGTAGAGGGCAAAGAGGGAACTAGATTTGTTTTGGAAAATGTCTGCATTAATTAAAATTAATTTTACATTACTGCCCTTTCTTTAAAATTTAAAAATTTAATTAAAATACCTCTATAACTTCTTGTTTAATTACAAAAATCACCCCTAAAGTTTGACTTCTTTGTAAAAATTACCCATCTAAAATTATAAATTATATATATATCCCACGACAAAAAACTAAGAAAACAAATTCAGGGTAATTATTGTAATTAACCATAATTCACGTACCAAATCATGCAGGAACAAGTAGAAATAGTTTGTCGAATTCACTTCTCTTTTCCCCAAACCAAACGCAACAATTAGCGACAGAATTGAGAAGCCAAACGCCACAAAATTTGCATATGCCAAAAACCTGAAAGAAAAAATAAAAAACATATATAATTAAAATTTATTTCAAAAATAAAAAAAGTTGTAAAAATAAATATAATTCTTATGAATAAAAAAAATTATAAAAAAAGATGAATTTACTTGAAAGCCGGAGAATAGCTGTATTTCGAGTCGACGGAAATACTGTAAAGCACCTTAGTTTCCTTGCTTGAGATCATAAGCAAAGCAGCAGCAAGAGTGAAAGCAACGGCCAAAACTCTCAGAGAAATTTGTGTTGCTAAATAGAGTTTTTTATTTTTTAGAGGTGAGCTAATTATACCGAGGGATTTGTTGTCGATCGCCATTTTTTTTTTCTTTCTGCAGTTGTTTTCTCTCTCTTCTCTCTTCTCTCTCTCTCTAGAATGGCTTGCAAAGAAGAAGAGAAGTGAAGGTAGAAGAAAGTTGTGATAGTGGGGCAGTTTTTATAGAGGGGGTTGAGGGGTTGTTTGGAATGATTCAAAAACAAACAAATAAATCAAATTAATCGGGGGGTTTGGCTTATTTCAAGATTTTACTTTAATACAAGTTATTTAACTTTAAAGAAAGGAAATAATGGTTTATACTATGCTATATCAGGTAACATAAACATGATAAATATTTACCATTACTAAGAGCATGCACCCACACCCATATTGGTGTGTGTAGATTAACGGTAAATATTCGCCCGATGTAATCTTCACTGTGTGCAGCATAGAAATAAGAGGAACTAATGGAGATATTTGTATATCTAATTCTTGGAACAAAGGATCGTGAGCACATTAGAGACAAGGGGGGGTGTTTGGCCATAAAATTAGGGTAGAAATTAGAGCGGAGTTTTTGAATTTCACTTATTGCGATCCGAAATATTTTTTATTTTATTTTTTTTAATTTTTGAAAAATAAAATTGGAAAACTTATTTGATTCTGATTTTCTATCTAATTTTAATTTACAATAGTTCCATTTATTTTATGAAAATTACACCTATATTAGTTAATTTTGACTTTTACATAGTCACAAATTTTTTTACTGTAAATTTTGAATAAACATGCTAATCAAGGAAAATTTAATCAAATTTATTTACATTTATTAAATAAAGGTCCTTTTGTTTTTGGGAAAAATTAACCTTACAAAAGACCATTTTAACATAAAATTTCACGATTTCATCTAATAACTGTTGACTTTGACCAACATTGACCAATCGTTGGCTGTTTTTTTTCTTCCTTTATTGTTCTTTTGTTAGAGAGCAATTATATAATATTACCAATTAACCATGTCCTAATCTTACATTTGAACCACAAAAGAGTTAATGGATGAAATTTTGTATTGAAATAGTTAACCTTACAAAAAACTATTTCGACACAAAATTTCATCCATTAATTGTTGAACGTTGACCAACATTGATCGGCTGTTGTTTGGTGTTTTTTCTTTCTTAATCTTTTATCGAGAGTAATTACGTACTATTACTGGTCATAATGTTACCGTTGAACCACAAAAAAAGTTATCATAGTTTGAATTTTAGTCGACGAATTTGGCACTTGCCAGAATTGTTATCATATATTTCTATTTGTTTTTCTTTTTTTAAAATTTAATGGACAAAAAATGAGGTCGCCATTAATTATTTGGAAACCGTCCACTTAGCCATTCATGGGACTTAAATGCTGATGTATATGAATTATTGAAAAAACAGAAGTTAGTGACTATACATATAAAGTTTGAAATAATTGTTTATTTCTTGAAATTATTAACGAATATCATGAAAAATTAATGTTAATTAAGCAATTATCTTGTATGTTTTTTCTGTTAGTAAAACATAGTTTATGGCCAATTAATGTGGAGGTTTAAGTTTGTCGACAAAAATGTACATAGAAATATTAACCATCCTAAATACATATACACATGGATATGTGTTATTATGTGTAGATCAATGGTGTAAAACTATATGATGAATCTCACCAGATGTAGATTCTACAAACATGAATTTTAGTTTCTTTTAGGATTAAACTTTTAAGTATTGTTTGGTGTATTTTCTAATTTATTTCAGTTGTACAAGAGTTACTTATAGTTTTTATTTGGATTTAAGTTAAGTTTTTAAATTTTTATTTTTCATTATATGATAGTAAGCTTATGAAATTTCAGAACTTCTGAAAATTGACAATAAACTTTGTGCCCGTTTATACATATATATTTAGAATTATTGATATAAAATGCAATTTTAATACTTTTCTTTAGTGGATATATTTTGTTTTGTTGTTTCGTCGTTTCATCGTAAATTTCTATTTTTTTTTTCATGAAACATACATACGTGTCATGTACGTGCACCTGATTTTAATTTTTAATCACTAATTGTTAGGTCTTTAAATGATAAGTATTTTGTTAAAATTGCATTTATCACATTATTTCAATTAATGAAATCAAAATTGGTCTTTAAAAAGACGGCAAAATTGTTTTTGGCTTATTTTTTTAGTTACGGTAAACAAATTAATAAAATTAGTTATACAGATTTAGGTACCCAACCAAATTCTGGTCTTAATATATAGTCAATTTACAAAAAACCCCTCTTGTTTGGATAATTACATCTACTCCCCTCAACTATGATTTTTTCTTACATCTCCACCCATATGGGATCAAATTCAACATAATCATCTAGATTTCGTGGAATGTGCTCTAATTTGTACTCGTTTTGTGTAAAAATACAGTTTCTGATGCACCACAATCTAATATATACAAACCAAAAAACACATATAATGATCATCTTACTTCAAAATGTGGAGTTCGAATGGGATAAAACGGGTACAAAAGTGATAATATTGCATATAATCTCGAAAATTCCACTAAATTTGAAACCGCAAGGGTGGACGTATAAGAAGATTTATAGTTGAGGGGTGGTTGTAATTACCCAAACAAGAGGGGAGTTTTCGTAAATTGACCATACCTCGGGGGTGGTTGTAATTTACCCTAATATATATGACAATGACTTCATTAAGCTACATTAAGTGTTATCAACTAACTTATGTTTGGTATCTATTTAATTTTAAAACAACAAAATTCAAATTTAAATACTACACAAGTGTTTACAAATCCAGGAGCAATGTAGATCTTGTTTGGCTAATTTTATTTATAATAACTTATAAATTTTTATATGTGATAAAATGCTTTAGAAGTTGATAATTTGTTAAATCTTATTTTAAAAGTTAACTTTTAAAGCATCCAATTTATCGGTACAGTACCATTTGGACTTCAGAAGGGACATTGAACTTTTTCAGGCATATTTTGGCAAAATTTAAAGCACAAAATTTGTAGTCTATTGGGTTGGCTTTGTAATCCAACTTAAATCGACTATGGCGAGAAAGTTATAAACGACGAATGAATGAACACGGCTATTGACATTTTGACTTTTTCCACGTTCGAACAATAACTCATTCATGTACAAAAAATATGTATATATATAAATTGTATACATATGGCGATAGTTAAAAATAATTATTTCTATAAATATAAATTGTAGCAAACGATTTGTATATAACTCGGCATCAATAATTAAAAAATTCGGAGAATTTCAACCGAATTATGTAGCATCGCATTGAATAACTTGTAGTATTTTTGAAAATAAATTACTTATTTACTTTCTTTATATATATATATATATATATATATATATATATATATATATCTTATTAAATTTATATTAGGAGAATCAAAACAAGTATGAGTATGTTTCGAATCTAACCATGTTACGAAACGTACTTATAATCATGAAATCGACTCAATACCAAAATTCAAGTTCAATTTCGCGCATTGTTTAGTGACTCACATTAAAATCCAGAAAATTAAACCCTACCTGAAAATTCAGAAAATAAATAGAGAAGATTAAAAACAACATATATATATTTAAACCTCTATAAATTACTTAACTCGAGACTCGCAAAACTTATTAATTCAGCCGAATATTAAATACTCAAAAATTTATTAATTATTAATTTGTAGAATTTAGAACAACGATTAGGTGACAAAATAACTCATGAACTGCAGAATTTAATCACAAATACCAAGAAACTCGTAAATCAGGAACCATACGTTTTTTTTTTAATTTGAATAGTTATTCTCTTTTTCGGGTGAAATAAATGTCGAATAAACATATTTAATTATTTATACAACACATGAGCAGCAGCTTATTGGCATGAATTTACATGTGTGCTAACCCATTCATTGTTAGCATTTACGAAACAATATGTACAAAATTATGTACAGACGAAACCAAATTAGAGAACATAAATTCATCTAAACTAACCGAACATAAATTATTGACTGATGTCGAAGTACTTTGGATTCGACGGATAATCGTATTCCACTTGCAACTGCAGAGCATCAAATTACACGACTTATTATTCGATTCTCGAGAATTCGACATAAAAAAACAAAAAACAAAAAGTTACGGAAGAAACAAGTCATATCGAGAAATTAAAATTTTAGGAAGGTCAAGAATCATAGACTTCTCTTCCATATCAAGAAATAATCAAGTCCTCGTTTAATAGGCTTGATCGGCCTTTATATAATAACTACGATAATACTTCTTTCGGGTTTATTGCATTCAGCCCCCCTATGTTTAGTTTAATTGTTAAAAAAAGCTCCTCGTGTTATTAATATTCGCATAAACCCCCCTATGATCCAGTTTTATTAGCAAACTACCCCTAAAGACGTACCATATAAGGGGTTGTGTGCTAAAAACAAATGCATCGTAAGGGGATTTTTGCTCATATGTATAACATGGGGAGTGTTTAAGCAATTCGGTATAATACAAGGGTACTAAATGCAATAAACTCTACTTTCATTACAAATATAACGTAACATCAATTATAAAGAATGAACAAACTTGGAAAATAGAAAATAATCACAACTTCTAATACATACTATCAAACATATATATATATATCTATATATATATATAACAAACCACTTCTAAAATACCAGAAATTCTACTACAAGTTGAAAGAAGCTTATTAAGGGAGTGATTGGATTTTGAAATGAGGAATATGAAATCAAAGAAATTACATTTCAATGAAAACATTATTTCCTTGTTTTAGGTTAAAAAAAATCATTTTCACTCTTTTCTCTCCAAATTATTTTCACTTGTTATTTTTCCACGATCCAATCTTAGTCGCAAATTTTCCACAAAATATACAAAGTCTCATTTAACGCCGTGTTATACTTATAATCACGTAAAAATATCATAATAATAAAAGTATATATATTATATATGCATACCTTGCCCTCGTCGGAATCCGTGTGGCGCTGAGGGAAAACCACTCTCATATCATTGTACAAATAGAAACGGCGCTCACCTTCGATATCCATAATCCCATTTCTTGAAGGAAGAGAAGATGGGCCCGATTTGCATTTCGGGCCCGTTCTGGAGTACTTCTTCATGTGTGGGCATACAAAACGGAGGTGTATGGCATAACGGAGAACACCCGTGGTGTTCTTATTAACCTTCGAAGGGGAATATAGGGATTGCTTATTTTCTCTTTCACCGGATAAAGAAGAAGCGAAAGGGAGATTATTTATTCCGTTACTACCCCTGCAATTGTTATTGTCTAATACGCAGTTAGCATCAGCTCCACATGTACTCGTAAACAAATCGTTTCTCGAGATCGAGTCTTTTGGTCCACCACCTCTATCGACAGCTAAAGTTGACTTTTGGCGTAAAAATGTCTGCAAGTTATATGATTGGTCAAAAGAGTCGATGAAAATCAAACCAAACTACTCGAAAATAAGTTCGAGAAAAAAAAATCAAGTAAAACTAGATAATGTTTAATAAGTAACGAGATTTACGCACCTTTGTACCTGCAGGCATGTCAGTCAAGTCATAGTTACAGAAGAATGTGTGAATAGGTGTTCTTTCTGGATTGCTTACGACCTGTCGAATAAACTCGATTGTTAGAGCAGAATATTTAATTGTCGAATTGAAGCAACTTTTAAAATATAGTCCATAAATTCATCGATCTGAAAATTAAGCCCAACAAAATGAGCAAGACAATCGCATACGACACACCGAAGCCATGTTTTTATGTGATGACTCTCATTCATAGTACCATGGACACAGCTGTTCGGTCGGAAAGTCAACAATCTGAAACCAGTTAAAAAAGATAAAACTCCGACAATTAATATGTGAACTTATATTTCTCCACCAGAGATCAAAGATTCAATTTTTAATTGTAAAAAAAGAAAATTAAGACAACGTAACGAGGTGGAAACAGCCTTAAAGCGCACCTAAAATCCCATGATCAGAAAAGAAAAGAAAAAAACGTAAATTTCACACTCAAATCAACTGTCACATCAAGTGAACGGAATCGAAAAAGAAATAACACGGTAAATAATAGATCTTTAACTCTCGAGATTAAGTTCTATTCAAGTCTCCCTTACAACTGAACCAAAGGTAATAATTATGCCGTTTCCTAATTTCCAGGGGACATAAATAATTCAATAAAAGAAAAGAAATTTCTGAGAATACCAGTTGCAAGCGCCCTTTCATAGGTATTCTGAGACGGGCTTTTTCGTCCGAGGAGCCATTGTTAACACTGAGGCTTCTCTTCAGTTTCGGACCTTCACATTTGCTGTTCGAAGATAAATCTCTAGAAAGATCTATAGACGAATAGTACAGTAAGTAATTATCACCATCCACACTTGTTACGGCAAACGGAAGTTTCTGCGGATGAGGTGAAAATTTCCCGCCCGTTATATTCAAAACCGCAAGGAAACCATCGAGTTTCTGCACCACATCCAAGAATTAATTAAAAATAATAATAATAACAAATTGCATTATGAGTAATTATTACGAGACAGAGAAAAAAAAAATGTGTATATATATACCTGGTTGACTATCCCAGAAGCTAATCTACCAGATAAAAGCGACTCTTCGAACGAACCAACCAATGACCTTCTGACGGATAATCCACTCAAAGATTTATTCCCTAATTTGCTATTTTGAGCGGTTTGAGTCAAATGCTCGAATTTCATAGGGAAACTCTCGTCCTCTTCGAGAACTTTTCTTGGAGATAAAAAGCTCGAGAAAGTCCCTTCGAGAGATTGCTCCACATCCTTAAAAGTTATACAGCTGTCATCAAACTCTCTCCTCGAATTTCTCATCCTTCCGAAAAATCTAGGTCCAAGAGGAGACAGTGACAAAGGCGGAGAGACAACGTTGTCCCTTAACAAAAGATTCTGAGATCTAAGTTCTTGATTTCCAAGTAAGGGCCCATCTGTAATTACACAATCTTCTTCGTGTAAGTTAGTATTACTCCTCGAGAAATTCGGTGCAGACCAACTAACCGGATAGTCATACTCCAAGTTGCTTATGTGGGCTTTTTTGTTCTCCTTCACTGCAATGCTATAACTACTACTACCACCCCGTAAGTTGAAATTACTATGATGGAAAGTGCTTCCGATTTCAAGATTCTCGCCTCGAAATTCGTTGGGCAAAATCATGCCATTCAAAGGCGATAGAAGTCGTTTTCGAACCAATGAACTCGAATTCTCGTTTGCACTATCCGATCGGTTAGTTAGTGCATTGGTTTCGAAGCCCACAATCCTAGAAGCTGGTGTCTGAACGTTTTTATGCGGTAAGAAGCAGTTCTTGTCCGCAGAATCGATCCTCAGTTTACGCATGTGGGCCATACTATCCGTGTGCAAACTGATAAAGTCGGATTCTTTATCATGTTCACGTGATGAAGTTGGTAGAAAATCACCAAATTGCCTTCCATTCACTCCGAATTGTATGATTGTGCTAACAGAAGTCGAGACTTCTTCGGAGATTTTACCGGAAGCAATTTGAGGCAAGCCCATGATTATTAACTTGGAGAAATTCGAGGCTAACACAATTTTCAAGGGCTTATCAAAAGAACAAAAGTTTCGGGCTTTGTTTTCCTAAGAAACTCTTCGAGCATATTCGAAAGACGAATAGCATAATATCATGTATTTCCAATTTCAAGAAAGAAAACGAAATCGTTTAGAAAAAACATTATCTATCTCTCTATCTATCTATCTATGATCTATCTATCCGAAACTCCATTACAATCGGAGTCCCTTCGGACAAAGCAGAATAAGACGCAGAAAAGGTAGCAATAAGCATTGCTTCGTTGGTTGTGCATTAAAGATAACCACGGAACCATTTACTCTCGCAGCACGATCACGATCGATTCTGGAAAAATTAAGAACTTGTTAGAGAAATGAACTGATCATAAATATTAGCTCGAGACTGAAGTAATAATAATTTCCATTTTCGGAGAAAAAAATTCAAATCGAAAACCTTAAAACTAGGACCTGGAAGAGAGATTAACAGTCTTGATGAACATCATTTAACAACAATAAGAAAAGCAAAATAATCAATCGGATTGCAAAAGATCATATTGACTTGAAGACTCACCAGAAACAAGGATTCGATGAATAATCAAAAGTGCCCAGAAACAATTTTGGGCTCAAATTTACAAAACCACCATTAATTCATCCTCAAGAATAACAATCCAGATAAAAAAAATTAATAAATAAAACCCACAAAAGATTGTCTGAAATGCTACCAGAAGTAAGCAATCAACACCAAAAAGCCCAAATAGATACATACATATATATGTATATGAAGATGTGTGCAGCATATTCAAAAAGACCCACCGGCGAAGCTATTTGATTGCAATCTACGAGAATCTGCTGCTTGCATTGATTAATTAATTTATATTTTTTTTGATGTATTGAAGTGTTGAATTTTTCCTTCGTGTATCTGGTTTGATAGAGAGATGATGATGAATTGATGATGGGGTTTTACAAATGGGAGAAGTTTTGATGAGAGAGAGAAACAATGGAGTCAATAATAATAAGATTGCTCTTATACTATATTCCGCTTGCGGCCCCTCGCATTTCTATCTGTTTCTCTCTTTTTCTTTTTACTACATATCTCTTTTTTTTTCTTTTTTTTTTTTTTTTTTTAATCAATTGTCTTGTGTAAAATAAATAAAAAAAATAAATAATTCAACAAAAAAGTAATTATAAAAATAAACTAAAATCATGTAGATAATTTTAGGTCCAGCTTGTATACATGATTTGCATCTCTTTCTGAGTGATTTGCGAGCTAGGGGACATATTTTAGCCAGCACAACTTCGAGGCCTTGGAGTTTGCTTGGTCATAAAAGATGGATATGCATTGTCATTTTTAGGGTAATAAATTATGGGTACCTGCTAATGTATGACTAAATAACTTATACGTTTCTGTAGTATTGGTAATTACAAATACCCATGAGCTATTATCCGTCTTATAATTACATCCGTACGGAGTTATGAGTAACGAAATCTTAAAGATTCGGTTGAATATTTGTTCTAAATATCTGAATCTACTACCCCAAGGGGTAAATGTAATATTCTTTTTCTCTTTTTTTTTTCTTTTCATAAAAGGGTAATTTAGATCATTACATCATTCCTTTAGAATTTTTTACGGGCTATTAGGTTTTGGGATATTTTGTCGTTACCAATATCACAGGGGTTTATAAGTTATCAAGTCTTACTTTAAAGTATTTAGTCTCACCTCAAAAGAGTACCCATAAACTACCCTCATTTTTGTAATTTATGAAACATTTTAATTATCCATACCATTATCAAGGCATCCTTGCTTGATATATTATAAATAAATTGTTTGATTAAAATGTATTTCTTATATATTAGCTTAAAATTTATTGGTTCTTGATTAATAATATTTAGGAATAAAATGCATTAAACAAATTGCATACATTATATATTAGCTCAAAATTATTGTTTTGGCTTGGACTAGAAAAAGTTATACCATTTGGTTTAGTAGTTGGGTATTTGGTTTATTAAATGCTACACCTAATAAAATATAGGAAAAGATTAAAACAAATACCGCTTATTTCTCAATTCAATACACACCCATGCCTGGTACTAGAAATTTATTTCATCATAATAATTAAAATTGCGCAATATATTTTCACCGAATATTGTATCTCAGTGACCGATCGTATTCATTTATGTATATATAAAAAACAAAAAAAATATTAAATAAACAAGCAAAAACAGTATTAATTAAGATTCATTGGACATGAAGAAAGTATATAGGAAGAATAGAATAGAAACCCCCATTATGTTATGAGTTGATTACATGGAATATATATAGAGAAATATTACAAGGTAATAGAGTTTAACTAGGTAACTAAATCCTACCTAATCTAGGTAACTCAATCGTACTAGAATCCTAATATTACAAGAGTTCTATAATATAATATTCTCTAACAAAGTAAAACATTTTTTTATTACTGGGGTTGGGATATATCACAAACACACATACACACATATATATATATATATATGGGTAAATGGCAAAAAGGCCCATCACATGGGACTTAAATGCATTTTAATCCACAAAAAAAACAGTCTCTCAATTAAGCCCATCCCCATGTCTTTAGTCTAAAATACCCTCAATAATATAATTCTTAACAATTCCACCCATTATGCTCTAACTTCCTTAATATTACACATTGACCCCGGATTTAAACAAATATATCACATTAACCCCCAAAACTTTTTTTTTTCAGAAAATAATTTTTTTTCTGAACTGTTTTTTTTCCGGCCAGATTCCGGCGTTGACCGCCGGAGACCGCCAATCTCCGGCGTTGACTTTTTTTTTTTTTTTTTTTGAAATTTTTTTCCTGATTTTTTTTTTCCGGCCGGTCAACCACCGTTGACCGCCGGTCTCCGGCGTTGACTTTTTTTTTTTTTTTTTTTTTTGAATTGTTTTTTCTTAGAAAAAAAATATTTTAATTAATATTACTGTCTTGACTACTAAATTACTGTCTCAAACAGTAATATTACTGTTTGGGACAGTAATATTATGAATATTATTTTTCCGAACAGTAATATTATTAATATTATTGTCTAAGACAGTTAAATTACTGTTGGAGACAGTAATTTAACATCCAAGACAGTAATATTAATTAAAATAAATTTTTTTTAAGGGAAAAAAGAAAAAAAAAAAAAAAAGTCAATTAACAGTTAAGTTACTGTCTCCGACAGTTAAATAACTGCTGGAGACAGTAATTTAGCAACGAATACAATAATATTAATTAAAAATATTTTTTTTAAGAATAAAAAAGTCAATTAACAGTTAAGTTAATGTCTCCGACAGTTAAATAACTGCTGGAGACAGTAATTTAGCAACGAATACAGTAATATTAATTAAAAATATTTTTTTTAAGAATAAAAAAGTCAATTAACAGTTAAATTACTGTCTCCGACAGTTAAATAACTGCTGGAGACAGTAATTTAGCAACGAATACAGTAATATTAAATTAATTTTTTTTTTTTAAGAATAAAAAAGTCAATTAACAGTTAAATTACTGTCTCCGACAGTTAAATAACTGCTGGAGACAGTAATTTAGCAACGAATACAGTAATATTAATTAAAAATATTTTTTTTAAGAATAAAAAAGTCAATTAACAGTTAAATTACTGTCTCCGACTGTTAAATAGCTGCCGGAGACAGTAATTTAGCAGCCAGGACAGTAAAATTAATTAAAATATTTTTTTTAAGAAAAAAAAAAAAAAAAAAAAGTCAACGCCGGAGACCCGGCGGTCAACGGCCGTTGACCGGCCGGAAAAATTTTTCCGGAAAACCAATTTCAAAAAAAAAAAAAAAAAAAAAAAAAAAAAAAAAGTCAACGCCGGAGACTGGCGGTCTCCGGCGGTCAACGCCGGAATCTGGCTGGAAAAAAAATATTTCAGAAAAAAAATTATTTTCTGAAAAAAAAAAAGTTTTGGGGGTTAATGTGATATATTTGTTAAAATCCGGGGCCAATGTGTAATATTAAAGAAGTTAGAGCATAATGGGTGGAATTGATACGAATTAGGGTTAAAATTGGGGTCAAAATTGAAATTTGGGTTAAAATTGGTTAATTGATGAAATTGGGCTAAATTGGGATGTAAATCATGAAATTGAAGTTGAATTGGGTTTCAATGAATTGGGGGTAATTTTGGTATATATAAAGGGATTTTCCTTATTTACAAATAAGTTTGAATGGGGTGGATTTATTTGAAAGACAAAAAAATTGGATGTCCCTATTTTAATTAAGTGCCCTTGTCATGGGCCTATTTGCCATTACCCATATATATATATATATATATATATATATATATATATATATATATATATATATATATATATATATATATATATATATAATAGTTGGGCTCCCTTGGAAATGCAAAAGGGCGAATAAAGTGATGCAGAGTTTTTTTGTTGATAAGCAATCACTGTGACGATGGAGACTGTTGTTCATCGTTTTGTTAATCAAAATCCAAAAATTGTGTTCAGAAAATAAACACGTCTTCCCTCAAAACCTACAATTTATTCTCCACAAGAAATGAGACAAATGTACAATGGATAACTCTAACCCGGGGTTTTATTTTATCTACATTTTTATTGTAATTTGTGACATGAATGAATTTTTGTTACAACTTTTTTTTTTTTTTATGCATGTTCAATATCCTTTTGGGAGTTGTTATCATTTTATTTTAGTGAAATATGTTTTAAGGAAATAATGAAAATGTCTTTTAGAAAAGGAATTGGAAAAAATAAAAGGATACTTGTTTGTTTTCTAGTAAAGGTACTCTTTTTACAGTAGTAGTTAAATATTTTTACAATAGTAGTCAAATCATTATCTAGAGGAGAGAGAAAGTTTTGAAATTGTTGTGGGATTTTTATTTTTTTGAAAAACTAAACAAAATACGAATTCGTTTCCAGAAAAGAATAGAATTAAGATGAAAATGCAACCAAATATAAATTTTAGGTACGGCCAATCCCTTTCAAATTTAGATGTTTCTAACCTCCTATTCAAAACCACTAAACTACCATTAAACCTTCATTATTATAGCCTCCAATGTTGGGCAACCCCCATTTTATTACTTTATCAATTTCGATTTTTCACCAAATTATTTTGTGAAAGATTTTGCATTTCCCATAATTCCACCTTCTACCCCTTTTTGCTAACAATAATTCTATTTTTACTATCAAATATAGTGTGAAAAATATGATTTGATATAATTACCATATACAAATAATTATTAACTCATCTCACGTGAGTGCTTACCGACTTAACTTCAACGGCAAAATATTAAAATGAATCATCAAATATTATTTTGATGCTAGTTTTATTATTTTGATATCGGTTTACTCCAACCATAAGCATTAAAAGGATTATTAGTCCCGCAATGGATGACCTAGCGGTTAGAACAAGTGACCTTGTGTCAATTAACTCAAGTTCGAATCTCCTTACCAACGATTGTTAGGTCGAGTTTGTCACACATGGTTAGCCTGGTTTGCGTCTCTTGTGTGGTTTAAATACAAGTATAAATACTCTTCCATCAGTCGTGTGGAAGAGTATTCTCACAACACGTGGACACCATTCAAACGAAATTTGCCAAAGAGTTGAAGACGGTGAGAGTACATCAATTTGGGCCGATCCGTGACTAGGAGATTACCGGAGTTTGAAAATATTGACTCGACGGTCTATCCAACACGGCTAGTCCCGGTCGAGTCTTCAACTTGATGGACTCGGCAACTCTGGATTTGGCTATGACCCAGATAAAATGATGGACTTCACTTATCCCAGAAGGTGATTGTTTACAAGTAATGGAAGCTCTAGACGGTGGCGCTTCTCTATCTGCAACTTTGAAAGCATACATTGAAGGTTGTTTTCTTTAGTGGTTTCTTTTCGAACTATTCTTTTTCCTTTACTAAACATTCTTGTAATATTCTAGCTTATA